TTTTTTATAGTAAAAAAACTGATTAAAAAAATTTTTTTAACCTCGACTTAAATCAATGCCAATTTAGAAGCAGGCGGTGGAGAGCAAATCGACCTGAGGGGTTCGGAGGGTAATGTCTTTCCCTTTAAAATGAGCTCCCGCGGGGTTCTATCCGATGTTTTTTAACCGAGGTACGGCGTTTTTTGTAAAAAGCAACCTTTTTTTCCAATCCTCAATTACTTCGACTTGCGTACGTTTTGGAAAAAAATGCCAAAGAGAAAAAAGTTTCATTTTGTGTCCAAGAATACGAAAATAAAGTTAAAATAAAGAAATAGAGAAAAAATTTTTTTCGGATTTTTAGCGCATTAAAAAAATAAATGAATTTAACTTTTTTTTACGCTTAGTTTTAAAATGTCTAGGGACGTAGTAAATCACAAAATGAGTAGTATAAATAAATTCTTTTTTATTTTTATTATTTTTTCAAATTACATTTAACAGAAAATATTAATTATTATATAAATAAATAATTGATTATTTAATTATTAGAAATACATAAACAAAATTGTACAAATCAACTGGATCATACATATTGCGACAAACGTTGAATATTAAACATATCATTCAATAATTTTTTTAGTGTTATTTATCATTAAACTCTTATAATAGTAATAATAATCACAATGACTTTATTTGTCTGAAACTCTTTGGTTTGAAAAACAAAACGTAATAGATATATACATTATTATAAAAATATTCATCAACACAAACGTCTTTGCTTCAAAAAAGAAAACATAATTTTAAACTAATTTTTCGTCGAAATGTCCGCCTTTAGCCTTTATTACAGCCTTACACAATCGCGGCATTCTAAGTATCAGCTTATCTAACGTTGTTGACTTGATATTTTTCCACTCCGTTTGCAAAACATTCCAAAGTTCAGTTTTCGACGTAGGTCAAACTTTTCTCACTGCTCTATCAAGCTCTTCCCAGAGCAGCTCAATAGGTTTGAGATCAGGTGATTGGGGGGGCCAGGTCATTACTTCTAATTTCTTCTTTTTTTCTAAACTATTTAAATAATTTGTACAAAGTTTAGATTTATGCTTAGGATAATTGTCTTGTTGAAATATAAATTTAGACTTAAGTAAACGTTTACCAGATGGTAGAACATTTTTTTGCAAAATTTTTTTATAATCTTCTTTTTTCATTTTCCCATCGACTTTTACGAGATCACCTACTTTTAATCCGGCAAAACACCCCCACATCATCACCAAACCTCCACCGTGTTTTACAGTTGGCATAATACAGTCATTGGAAAATCGTTCACCTGGTCTTCTCACAAACACCTTTCTTTTTGATTCAAAAATTTCAAATTTGAATTCATCTGACCATAGAACTTTTTTGAAGTTGTTTATTGACCAATTTTTATGCTCTTTTGCCCACTTAAGTCTTTTCATTTTATTTATCGGCTTCAAGAATGGCTTTTTCACAGCACTTCGACCATATAAATTTGCTTTTATCAGTCTTCTTCGAACCGTAGGCTCACCTACCGGATTTCTCAAAGATTTATTTACTTCCGCAGTAATGTCTGCTACTGTTAATCATCTATTGCGTAAACTAGTATTTACAATAAATTTATCTTCTGCCAGATATGTCTTCTTTCGAGTTTTACCTCGTCTATTTTTTATACTATTTGTTTCACAAAATTTTTTAACATTATAATCAACTGTACGACGACTAATTTTCAGCGATTTAGCAATAGCGTTATTACTGATATTTTCTTTATGAAGAGCGATAATTCGATGACAAGTAAACTCCGATAAGTTTTTCTTTTTTGCCATAATGTTCTCTGTATAATCGGTGACTATTTAGATCGATGGCTAAATATGTACACACTAAAACCAAAAATTGTATGCGTCAGTAAATAATTGGTGACAGAGGAATGGATAAACATTGTAGCAGACTAGCATATACATAGGTAAGAATAAGAAGACAAGTTTGAAGCGTCGAAGAAGAATTGTTTGTAAACAAAAATGGTGAACACACTATCACTATGTACGTACACTTTACATTAATACTACTATTTAATCTACTTTTATATAACTCTAACATTATATTGCATGTGTTATTTATTCTCTAATAACAATTTTGTTTATGTATTTCTAATAGTTGAATAATCAATTGTTTATTTATATAATAATTAATATTTTTTGTTAAATATAATTTGAAAAAATAATAAAAATAAAAAAGAATTTATTTATACTACTCATTTTGTGATTTACTACGCCCCTAGACATTTTAAAACTAAGCGTAAAAAAAAAGTTAAATTCCTTTATTTTTTTAATGCGCTAAAAAACCGAAAAAAAATTTTGTTCTCTATTTCTGTATTTTGACTTTTTTTTCGTATTCTTGGATACAAAATGAAACTTTTTTCTCGTTGGCATTTTTTTCCAAAACGTACGCAAGTCGAAGTAATTGAGGATTGGAAAAAAAGGTTGCTTTTTACAAAAAACGCCGTAACTCGGTTAAAAAACATCTGATAGAACCCCGCGGGAGCTCATTTTAAAGGAAAAGACATTACCCTCCGAACCCCTCAGGTCGATTTGCTTTCCACCGCCTGCTTCTAAATTGGCATTGATTTAAGTCGAGGTTAAAAAAATTGAAATTTTTTTAATCAGTTTTTTTACTGTAAAAAACACATATTTTCATTTTTAAGTCTCTGCACGTCTTAAATGGAAGCTTTTGCAATTAACTTTAAAACGCCCTGCGGTTTTTTGTGATACGATGATTTTCGACCGAGATACAAAACTTTCAAGTTTGCCTAATTTTGAGGTAAGCATGGCAAAAGTGATTGACGGGCAGTGTACACGAGACGAGAAACTCTTTCCCGACCATGTGCCGTACCGTATTTTTTTATACGACGTGTGGAAAGTGCGATTTTCAACACACGTTTTCTGGCGAGCGTGCGGGAAAGATGCACTTTGCGCACGGAGTGTCGAAAAAAACATTAAATCAAAACAATATTCAAATTCATCAAAATTCAATTTCAAGTTTAAATGCCAACGTCAAACATTACATATGCCCAAATAATATCAAACCAAAACAATCAGAATAAGATAGAAATATCAAAATAAACAGTTGCTCAAGTAAGCTAGTAGATATAATAACGAAGTAAACACAAATAATAAACTCGAACATATGATGAAGTAGCTAATGCAAACAATAGATACCATGTTTAATTATTTAACTATGCTAGTAGACAAAATGGCATAATGATCAGTCTAAAACTCGCTATCGAAAAGCTGTAACAGTTTTGACGCGCTGCTACCTATTTTTAAAGAGGAAGGTAAAATATGCGCTTTTGCTCTAAATGTAATCGGAAGAGTAGGCGGAAAAATAAACCAATTTTCTTTAATACCAAATGACAAACCTTTTATTATTTTATAATACAAACAAACGCGCGTTTAAATCAATCAAATATAAACACCTAATCCTACGTCTACAATATGAAACTAATCAAACATCTAAACGTCTTAATCGTATGTCTACAATATGTTGTACCTTAACGGAATAGTATACGCGACTTATTCTAATACAAAGAAACTCGTAAAGTAGCCGGCGAGTGATCGCCTGGCTACCCAATAATTCGTACGGCCGCACATCACTGTGAGAGAGAGAATAACCGGGAGAGAGATAACCTGACCTTTGTTTTATCCTCGATGATACCTGGGAGGCGAAGGTGGCAACTGTAGGGCAGGCCAACTGTCCGGCCTCTTGTCATTGTCGCTGCTCCAGGTGGTGCACGCTCTGATTAAAGGCCAGGGCGTGAGGCCGCTCAGGATGGAAGGCAGCCAACCTTTTCTTCGCAGGGAACAATGGTAGATTATGGCAGCGCGAGCTAATTACTTAGTCAACTGACCTCGAATGGAGGCTGACATAGCGTGAATGACTGACTGACGTTACGTAATCCTTCTGCGCGAGCAGTGACCGCTCTCTCACAAACTATCCCTACTTAGCCCATTTTTAGGCGGCGTGCGACGAAACGCCAATTGGTCGCGCGTCTCCCGCCTGCCTAATAACTGTGTTAAAGCGCTGGCGCGGGAGCTGAGGATGTAATTCCGTCGGGAATGAGACGACGCAGACACAATATTCTTTAATTTGAAGGCTTTATTGGCTACACCCGTAGTAACAGAACAGGCGAAGGAAACAAAGTCGCGTTGAAAAAGAAATTTCTGACGGTGGAGAGCGCAGGTCAATGCTGGCCGAAAGCTCCAAGTAAACAGAGCTTAGCAACGGCGGTGACGTTATTCAGGGGAAGGGGCTTCAGTCTTGCCCCCACTTCAGGGCCTGCGTCGTTGTCTCCTCGTCGGAGGATAGAGGAAAAGGGGGGCCTGGCTCGAGCCGCGCGAGGCCGGGCAACTCGACCAAACATCCCGCCCGCCTCGTTCCGAGAATGACCCGCTGGTGTTGTAGTCGTCGTGCGCCCTAGGTTGGCTGCTCGATGAGATCGGGGGCTGGCAGGGGCGCCAGCTTGATGACTGGCCGGACATATTCCCCGGCGGCGGTCTGGATCTTGGCGGAGCGGACGAGGCCATCCGGTCCTGGGTGGGTGGCGACTATACGGCCAAGAGGCCATCGCCCATCTGGGCGCAGAAGAGTCGGGTCGGTTATGACCACAAGGTCGTCCATCTGGAGGTTGGGTCGAATGGTCCTCCACTTGGGGCGCTGGCGCAGGGTATTCAGGTACTCGCGGCCCCAGCGGTCCCAGAACAGCCCGCGCATGGCTCGGACGAGCTCCCAGTGCTATGTGCTCTCCAGGTTGGTGGTTGCGGGGAGCGGCTGCGGAATTGAGGTGGCAGAGGTTCCGAGGAGAAAGTGGCTTGGTGTCAGAGCGTCCAGATCATCGAGGTCTCCGGTGGGCGGCGCGAGCGGTTGGCTGTTCAGGGTGGCCTCGATGGAGACGAGGAGCGTGGTAAACTCCTCGTAGGTGAGCCTTCTGGGAGCGGCAATGCGGTGAAGGTGGGCCTTCATGCTCTTAACACCGCCTCCCAGAGTCCGCCGAAGTGAGGGGCAGCGAGGGGGATGAACCTCCACGAGACACCGTCCTGTACCAGCGTCCCTTTGACCAGCCCCCAGTCGATTTCGGCCTCCTGCAGCAGTCGTCGAAGCTCCAGGCTGGCACCACGGAAGTTGGTGCCATTGTCGCTCCAGATCTCGTTTGGGCGTCCTCTCCTTCCGATGAATCGGGTGAGGGTTCCGAGGAAGCTGGCCGTCGTCAGATCACCGACGAACTCCAGGTGGATCGCTTTCGTGCTCATGCACACGAAAAGCGCCACGTATCCCTTGATGGTAGGGAGTCCCCGTCCGCGGCTTCGGCAGAGTGGAAATGGGCCGGCATAGTCTACGCCGCAGTGACTGAAGGGCCGCGAGGGGGTCACCCTGACCGCGGGGAGAGGGGCCATCCCTTGGGCGGCGGTCCTTGCGGAGATCCGGGCACAGATCAGGCACTGACGAAGGTGGCGCTTGACGCGCGACTTGCCGCCGGTGATCCACGCCTTCTGCAGGACTCTCGCGTAGGTAGAGCGAAAGCCTCCATGCAGACTGCGAGCGTGGGCCCATCGGAGGACGAGCTCTGCCAGGTGCGAGCGTCCGTCCAGGAGGACGGGGTGGCGCTCGTCGTAGGGCAGTGGAGATTGTGAGAGGCGTCCGCCCACTCTCATGAGTCCGTCTTCGTCCAGGAAGGGTTCCAGCGCTCTGAGTGAGGCCTGAAGCCGGGGCGCGGGTCCTTGGAGAAGCTTGATCTCATCAGCGAAGGTTTGACGTTGCGAGAAGCGGGCGCAGGTGAGAAAGGCCCAGCGGAGGTCAGCAGCTCGGACGGGCCCCAAAGGTCTGGGCGAGTTGGGCGTTGACCCGGTCAGCAGCCGGTGGGCCCTCACGGTGCCGCGGAGGAGACTCCCCAGCGTGGAGAAATTCTCGAGGTGGTTCCGGGCTTGGTCCTCCGTGGCGGCAGGGCTTCGACGATGAGCGAGCGAGACCAGGCAGGCCGTGGTGGTGTCGCCCGGGCCTGTAGACGGTGGGTCGTCGACGAGGGCGGTCTGGGGCGAGGCGGATTCGGGGCTGGACAGCCACTTCGGCCCGGTCCACCGGAGGCGGTGGTCCTTGAGGCCGTCCGAACCGACCCCCCTAGAGGCGATGTCCGCGGGATTGTCGGTGGTGGGCACGTGGTGAAGGGTTGCTCCGGCAATCAATTCCTGGACGTGAGCGATGTAGTTGTCCACGAGGTCGTTCCCCACCGGATCGTCGGACTGCAGCCAATGCAGTGCGACGCGAGAGTCGCTCCAAAGGTGGCAGGCCGAGATCGGGACCTTGAGGGCGGAGGCGGTAGTGATGAGAAGCTGCGAGGCGATGAGAGCCGCGCGCAGTTCCAGTCGCAGGATTGTCATGCGCAGGCGACCGGTTGACGCTGGCTGGAGGCCCTTGATGGAGGAGAGCTTTGTCCGAGCGTTGAGTAGGGCGGTGGTGATGCTTCCGTCCTTGTCGGTGACCCGCGAGTAGACTGCGGCGGCTAGGGCGCGGCGGCTGGCGTCGGCGAACGCGTGGAGCTGGAGGTTCTTGTCGGGTGCGAACCCGATCCATCGGGGTATGTCGATCTCGGTGGCCGCGAGGATCGTGGAGCGGAATGCGGACCACTTTTCTTGCCACGCCTGTGGGAGGATCTCGTCCCAGCTCAGCTTCGCTCTCCACAGATCCTGCACGATCATCTTAGCCACGAGGGTGATTGTCGCCATCCATCCCGCCGGGTCGAAGATACTGGAGAGCTCGGCGAGGGCCTTGCGCTTGGTCAGTTGAAGCCCGGGATGAGGCGAGGCGGGAGGCTTGAACCGGAATCGGTCGGTGGTTGGGCTCCAGCCTACTCCGAGCTCGGTGACTGGTCCGTCCGCCGAGAGATGGACCCAGCTGGGTCGAAGGCGATCATCCACGGCGATGTCCTCAAGCAAGGCGGGGTCGCTGGCCACCCACTTCCGCAGGTGGAAGCCGCCCGCCGTGAGGAGCGCGATCAGATGGTCCCTGAGACGTCGGGTTGTCTCCAAACTGTGGCCACCGCGTAAGTGACGGTTTGTAGTGCGTAGTGGTGGGCGGGGGAGTCTGCGTCCTGGCTCCACAGCACTCTCTGGAGGTGGACGTCCTCTGGCCTCACGCGGATCTGGCGGAACATCATCTGGATGTCCGCGCAAAAGGCGTAGCGGTGCAGCCTCCACCTAGTGAGCACGGTGGTCACGTGCCCTTGTAGCTTCGGCCCGGCGTGCAGCGCGTCGTTCAGGCTGTATCCGGAGGATGTGGGTCTCGAGGCGTTGAAGACGACGCGCAGTTTCCGTCCTCGATCGTGATTTTGCCAGATCCCGTGATGCGGGATGTAGACGGTCGGTCCTTGATGTGCGGTGAGCTCCTCGGCAGTGAGACGCCTCATGTGCCCGAGGTTCTCATACTCGGCCATGAACTCGTGGTAGAGGCCCGACAGTTCCTGGTCCCGCTGCATCCGGCGGTGCATCGAGGCGAGGGCGGAACGAGCCTGGCTCAGGCTCTCCCCGAGGAGAGCGACGCGTTCCGGTCGTAGCGGGAGGGCCACGGTGTAGCGCCCTGTGGGGTCTCGGCTGCATCCTCGAGCGAACGCTGCCTCGCACTCGACGTCGGCGGCGGAGATCCTTCTCGTCTGGGGTACCTCCTCCAGAGACCAGAATTTTTGGACGAGGCCGAGGAGGCGCTCGTGGCCGGTCGCTGGGCCCGGGATGGACAGGGTGGCGCAAGACAGGGCAACGCCCTGGTCGGCCTGTCGAGTGGCGGCCACGCGCCCGGTGAGCGTCCAGCCGAACATGGTGAGGGTTTAGAGGTCGCGTGGCGCGGAGGAGGGGGACGGAGTCGCCGTCTGTCGACCAGGGTCGGGCGTCCGACGCTCCGGCTCAGCGCGCGTTCTCCGGCTCCTCCGCTCAGGGGTGTCGGCCGGACGCGTGTCGTCGTTGTCGGCGCGGCGACGGGACGTGCGTCCGCGACGATCGAGAGCCACAGCCGTGATGCGGCCAGGGGCCGTTCGAGGGAGGGGGTCAGGTGTCGACCAGGGCTCACGGAGCCCTAATAGGGCGACGACGGCGCGTTGGCGTCGGCGAGACCCGGTGTCGTCGGCGTCGACGGCGCGTCGGTGCCGGCGAGGCGTCACTGCTGTCGGAGGCGGCCATCTTGAACGTCGCTTGGCGTTGCTGCTGTCGGCGGCGGCCATCTTGGATGCCGCTTGGAGTCGCCGTCATCCACCCGGGGCGCCGCCGTCGAGCTCGACGTGGCCACCGGATCCTCGCCGACGCACGCGGTCGGTCCCAGCCGGGCCTCGAAGGTCCAGCCTCCCTCGACCCGTCTCATGCGCGTTGCTGGCGGTCGCCTTGCCAGGACGCTCGTCCGCCGACAGCTGAGCTGGCCGCGGCGAGTCGAAGCCGGGGCTGAGGCGAGCGCGCCTCGCCTCCGGGCCGCGCTTGAAGTCGCGGCGACGCCGGGCTTCGGTCCAGGCGCGGCCGCCCGCCGTTAGGCCGACGTTCAGCCCAAATTAAATGGGGTACCTACTTCGATCGCTGTCCGGTATCCGTCTCGAAGGACCAAAATGTTGAAGCGCTGGCGCGGGAGCTGAGGATGTAATTCCGTCGGGAATGAGACGACGCAGACACAATATTCTTTAATTTGAAGGCTTTATTGGCTACACCCGTAGTAACAGAACAGGCGAAGGAAACAAAGTCGCGTTGAAAAAAGAAAGTTCTGACGGTGGAGAGCGCAGGTCAATGCTGGCCGAAAGCTCCAAGTAAACAGAGCTTAGCAACGGCGGTGACGTTATTCAGGGGAAGGGGCTTCAGTCTTGCCCCCACTTCAGGGCCTGCGTCGTTGTCTCCTCGTCGAAGGATAGAGGAAAAGGGGGGCCTGGCTCGAGCCGCGCGAGACCGGGCAACTCGACCAAACAAACTGCTTAGCGTGCGCTCACGTGAGTAATCTTTCTCTCTTTCTCTCTCTCTTTTTCTTCAACTACAGCGTCTTCTTACATCTGTCCTTCTTCAACGCTCTCTCTCTCTCGCTCTCCTTAGGCTATCTTAGCCGGGCCTGGTAATTCATGGCGGCTAAGAAAGAGGTACAGTATTAGGCACATAGAGAAAGTGCGTCCAATATTGACCACTCAGCCTTACCGAAGGAAAAGAGAGGGGGGAGGCAGAGGGAACGACGAGAAACAGGCAACTGGCTACTTTCGTCACAAAGCAGACGGTCTTACGAGGTCTGTCCGGAAAGTATCAGGCCTACGTTTATATCTTCGCGCCATAGTGTTCAAACGACCTCTACCGGACAGAAACGTCAACAGTAAAGCCTCACGAATCTATTGGTGACTTACTGACACCTGCCGGACGTATAGTTCATGCGCAGCGTGTCTTTGTTAACAGTGCCTTTTTCGCGTTCGTCGGATTTTGATATTGTCAAAAATGACTGAAAAACAAGATCAACGAATTTGCATCCAATTTTGATTTCAACTCGGAAAAACGAGTTCGGAAACTATTGAAATGATGCAAAAGGCCTTCGGAAGCGAGTGTATGAGGAAAACACGAATAAAAGCGTGGTATAAATGGTTCAAGGATGGTCGCACTTCTGTCGATAGTGATTCTCGTTCCGGCCGACCTTCGACGACAAAAACCGCAGATAATATTGAGCGGGTGCGACTTGCAATCGAACAAGATCGTCGTATGACTGTGCGAGAACTAGAAGAAGACCTTGAGATACCAAAAACTATCATTTCAGAAATTTCAACCGAAAATTTAGGCATGAAACGCTTGTGTGCGAAATTCATCCCAAAATTGCTCACAGCAGAGCAGAAGAACATTCGCTTAGAAATCGCTCTGGACAATCTGGAAATGGTCAATAATGATGATAGTGTGCTTAGAAAAGTTATTACAGGTGATGAATCATGAGTTTATGGTTATGATCCTGAAACAAAACAACAATCTTCACAGTGGAAGCATTCTGAATCGCCAAGATAAAAAAAATCACGTCAAAATCGGAGCAATGTTAAGTCAATGTTGATTGTTTTTTTTCGATTGTAAAGGTGTTGTACATCACGAATATGCACTAACAAGTCAGACAATCAATAAAGAATACTACGTTCAAATTTTGAAACGTTTGCGTGATGCAGTAAGAATAAAACGGTCGCACTTTTGGGAAAGTGATGACTGGCTTCTCCATGACGATAATGCGCCAGCGCATTCATCCAATCTTGTGTAGTAGTTTTTGAGCAAACATAATATCGCATTGCTTCGACAACCTCCATACAGTCCTATAGCCCCTTGTGACTTTTGGCTGTTTCCAAAAATAAAAAAACCACTCAATGGACACCGATTCGATGACAAAACAACAGTTGAAAACAATGCGACGAGTGTGATCGACGAGGCTATCCCTAAAAGTGAGTTCCAGGACTGTTATGAAAAGTGGAAACATCGATGGAACCGTGTTATTCAATCAAGTGGGGATTACTTTGAAGGATGCCACCCACCAGATGATAAAGAATAACGCTAGCACGAAAATATAAAGGTAGGCCCGATACTTTCCGGAAAGACCTCGTATGCAGAGGCACATTGAATTAAAAGCATCTTTAATTTATAAAAATATAGACATCATGTTGATAACAGAAACACACTTTACAAGTAAAAACTATCTTAATATACTAATCTACACTGTACATAAAACCAATCACCCACATAATAAAACACATGAAGGTAATGCGATGATAATCAAAACGAAAATAAACCACTACATCCACACTTTCATTAGTGAACATTAGTGAAATTTACGTACAATCAATCATTGTAATAATTAAGGATATAAATGGACCGATAACAATATCAGCTGTTTACTGTATGCCAAACAAAACAATTAAAAAAGAAAAAAGAACTGACGTTTTCAATACAACAGGAAATCGTTTTATAGTAGGAGACGAAGCATCCGTGGTGGGGATCAAGATTATCAACTCCAACATACAAAGGCAGAGTACTCTATGAAATACTGCAAAAAATAATAACATTCCGATATACATCGGAGAACCAACTAACTGGTCTACAGACATAAACAAGCTTCCAGATGTGATTGACTTTGCTATAATAAAAGATATAAACAAAAATTATCTTGAAGTGTCATCATACTTAGATTTATCATCAGATCATTCGCTGGTACTAATTGTTCATCATTATCTAACTGGATTAACATGCTCTACTACAAGAAACAGAAATAAAACAGAGCAAATAACGTCAACTAAAATAACCCAGAAAATTAAAGAAAAAAGATTATTAAGAAAAAGGTATCAGATAACCAGATCGAGTCAAGACAAAACTGAAGCAAATAAAGTATCCAAATATTTAAAGAAAATGTTATATGAAAAAAAAAAACATGAACGAAAAATGACCTCAGATCACTGAGTCCTACAAAAGTAACAGATTACTTATTATTGAAAGCTACTAAACGACTTAAAAGACTATATTTATACCACCTATCAGAAAATCTAGTGGTAACTAGGCAAGATCAGACGAGGAAAAAGCTGAAACATTTTCAAATCATCTTAGTACAGTATTCAAGCCTCACCGAAAAATAATTGACAAAGAAAAAAAAGAAATCTTATTAGAAGGTTCTACCAAAACAGTACACCAATCAAATTGATTAAAATAAAAGAAGTATTACAAATTATTAATAATATTAAGAATGAAAAACTCCCGCTTCTGATAATATCACAGGAAAAATATCCACAATGTTACCTCCAATTGCAATAAGATATCTAACAATTATTTTTAATGCATGCTTGGGTCTCTGCTATTATCTTTCCCAGTGGAAAGTAGCAGAGATTGTTTTAATACTTAAACCCGGTGAAGAACTAGAACTGGTAACGTCATATAGACCGATTAGCTTTTTATCGGCACTTTCTAAAATCTTTGAAAAACTAATTCTAGCTAGAATTAACCCAAGAATACTAAATATAAAACTTATCCCTGATCATCAATTCGGCTTCAGGTTATTGGGTTATTGGTTAACGATTGAACAAGTAAATAGAATAATATTTGTTGTGAGGAAAGCGATCGAAGATAAACAATACTGTATAGGTATATTCCTGGATGTTGCCCAAGCTTTTGACAAGATTTGGCATAAAGATCTAGTGCATAAGTTTAGGACATTTTTTCTCAGTCCCACTACGATTTGTTACAGTATTATCTACACAATAGAGCCTATCAAATTAACATAAATTGAAACATCAAAACGTCAGTTTATAAAAGCAGGAGTACTGCAGTGCATATGATATATACCTCGGAACTACCATAGTCTATCAATATCTTGATAGCAACATATGCAGATGATACAGCAATATTAACAGTACTTTCAGAGGCAACAATAACATCCAAAACATTACAAAATTACATAAAAAATTACCTGCAAAATTAGTTTAACTCCTGAAGTATAATAGTAAATATAAGCAAATCAAGAAAGTCATCCACTAATCGGTTTTTCAAAGGTATGCCATTGGGAGTGTGGACGTGTCTTGTATGTGAGCGCGAGTTTTAGTGAGAAAGTCAAAGAGGAAAAGTGTTTGAGGAGAAAAATAGAGGTGAAAAGAGCGTGGAGGTGGAGGAGGAGTGCAGAAGAGAGAGAGAGGCCTGGAGAAGAGCAGGAAAAAGCAGAGAGAAAGGAATAAAGAAAAAAATAAAAGTTGAGGTTAAGAGAGAAAATCAGAAAGCGGGAAAGGCAGGCAGAGAGGAGGGGCGGTAAGAAGTAAAGGCAGAGACAGAAAAGGTAAGACCGGGAATAAAGGTGGGATCACGG